TGTCATCCCTGAGATTCCAGCACAGCCTTCACTCACCAAGGGCTCCAGGGTGTTGATGTCTTTGATCTTGTTGCCACTTAGATTCAAGTGTGTCAAGTTGGGAGTTTTCTCTGCTAGAACTTCAAGGCCACCAGAAATCCTGTTATCACTCAGCTCCAGCTGCCAGGAGGGAATATCACATGGTCACCAAGTGTCTTGGCTCGTGATATGGGGAAGAACTGCCCTGAGAACTGGTCTAACCCAAGTTCCAGACCCCACTTGTTAGGGCACCTCACAGAGCAGAAGGTCAAGTTTTCCCTCAAAACCCCTTTCCTGTGGTGACACGAAACTCCCAATCACCTCTGTGCTGGCACATGCTCCAATACCCAAAATATTTATGATGTTATGAAGCTTCTGACAGCAGCACAAAAGCAAGAGAAGGAGGACACTGAACACCAAAAGAGCTCAGAAGCATTTTGTTGTGCACTAAGAACTGATCCCTCTCACTTGCTTGGATTGTGGACAGACAGAAAAAAAGAAAAATTAAATGGTTTTTTTGCTGGCAAACACAAGAAAAACAACAGTCACCAGGGATGGAGCAGCAAAAGTGTCAGGGCAAGGATTGACTCACCTTCCGGAGCTTGTTGAGTTTGGGGAGGTTGGAGACAGACAGCAAGTTGATGTTGATCATGCTGAGAAACTCCAAGTTCTCAAAGTCTGAAGACAGACCAACCACCTTCCCATCCTCTGAACGGCAGTTATCCAGGACCAGCTCCTTCACCTGCCAACACAGACACCCACAGCTGTCACCACATCTGGAAAAGTCTCCCCTCGGGTCCATCCAGCTGCCATCAGGCAGCAACTGGTACATAAAAAGTGGCTGTGCCTGAAGTTCCTCCTCACTCATATTAAGGGACAGGCAAGATCTTGGTGTCAAATAACTTTAGGGAAGGCACAAGGTGAGAATCCCTCATGGTGGTTGGGGTTTCACCCTTTAAGCATGAGCCACTGACACACAACCACTGCCCCCACACCCCACAGCTCCCACCAAGGTCCTCCTTCTCCATGAAGCAACATCCAGAGGTGGAAGCACGAGGTCACATCGAAACACTCCATGCAGAAGGCATCAATAAGCTTTCAGAGTCATGCTTCAGGCTTCACTAACATGAGGCCAAACAAGGTCATCTGGTTTTGTCCCCTTCCAATTTCTCTCCCCCACGCTGCTGGGGTGCTGGAAAATCTGCCTCCAGAGGATTTGCTTCCCTGTGCCAGTGTCCACATGAGGTGACACAGCTGCCTGGGCAGGTCCCAGCACACGAGCTCAGCCTCAGGCTCGTGACACAGGACCACTGACAGCATCTCATACAGTGACTACACACACAAAATCACCACCACCCAGGAACTCAGCACAGAAATCAACCCCTCTGTGCCACCAGGACCATAAAGCACCAGCACAGAACTGCTGCCCACAAACACCTTGGGGGAAACATCCCTGGCACCTCCTCTCCCCTGAAGCAAGGCTGAGTGAGTGCTCTAGCCCCAGCTCTCACAAGCCACTTCCAAAACCTGCTTTTACCCCACACCTTCTTCACAGCAAGATGCAAAAATGTGCCTTGGCCAGAAGGTTTGTGGTGCTCTCCAAATTCCTCCTTCGCAGCACTCCTGTTTTCCCTCTCCTGCTATTAGCCAACTATTAGGGAGTCATTTGAAAATCACTCTGCCTGAGTGGAGGCAGAGTTTGGGGGCTGATGTACCATCTTTACAACATAAGCTCTGAATGAATTCATATTTCAAACTCCCAAAGTGGCATCACTGGTTGGGGCTCCAAGCTGAGGCTCAGCCAGGAGTTTTGTAGCTGAGCATGTTTTGTTCCCAACACCCCTGACAAACCTCCAACTGAACTGGGACTGTCACCATGGTGGGTTTAGAGGTGGTCAAGGCCAGACCTGGGTGGGTGTCACTTTGTTGCATGGGCACAGAGATGAGCCTGAACTTCATCAGGTTATCACAAAATCCTAGGCTGGTTTGGGTTGGAGGGACCTTAAAGCTCATCCAGTCCCACTCCCTGCCATGGGCAGGGATACTTTCCACCAGCCCAGGTTGCTCCAAGCCCCATCCAACCTAGCCTGGAACACTTCCAGGGATGGAGCAGCCACAGCTTCTCTGGGCAAACTGTGCCAGAGCCTGACTGGAATATGAACCCAACCCAGGCCCTGCCCTGATGGCACAGGACACGCTGCAGCAGGACAGAGCAGCCAGGACTGCTCCTGCCAGCGACAACACTGTCCCACGCTGGCTTTGCTCCCGGGATTTCAGTCCCAGGACACACAGCTCTGACCCCGCTGGCTCTGCAGTTCCAGGCGTCACACCATGGGGACCAGCAGCTCCTCCTGCTCAGTCATTCTCGTCCTGCAAATCCCTTCGCCAGCCACGGAGCAGCTTTAATCTCCACCCAAAGCTCAGCTCACAACCCATTTCTCTCGTGCCACCACACGGAGTGTCCCCAGGGCCACAGAGTGACAGGGCAGAGCAGGACAGGGCAGAGCGGGGAGCACGGGGAAGGAAGATCCAGGGAAAGGGAATATCCCGGGGAAAGGGAAGATTCCGGGGAAAGGGAAAACAGGGGGAGAAGGAAGATCCTGGCGAAAGGAAAACACGGGCGAAAGGAGGAAAGAGAAGGCACGGGGGAAAGGGAAGATCCTGGGGAAAGGAAGACACGAGGAAAGGGAAAATTCCGGGGAAGACACGGGAAAAGGGAAGATCCTGGGGAAAGGAAAACACGAGGAAAAGGAAAATTCCGGGGAAGACACGGGAAAAGGGAAGATCCTGGGGAAAGGAAAACACGAGGAAAAGGAAAATTCCGGGGAAGACACGGGAAAAGGGAAGATCCTGGGGAAAGGAAAACACGAGGAAAAGGAAAATTCCGGGGAAGACACGGGAAAAGGGAAGATCCTGGGGAAAGGAAAACACGAGGAAAAGGAAAATTCCGGGGAAGACACGGGAAAAGGGAAGATCCTGGGGAAAGGAAAACACGAGGAAAAGGAAAATTCCGGGGAAGACACGGGAAAAGGGAAGATCCTGGGGAAAGGAAAACACGAGGAAAAGGAAAATTCCGGGGAAGACACGGGAAAAGGGAAGATCCTGGGGAAAGGAAAACACGAGGAAAAGGAAAATTCCGGGGAAGACACGGGAAAAGGGAAGATCCTGGGGAAAGGAAAACACGAGGAAAAGGAAAATTCCGGGGAAGACACGGGAAAAGGGAAGATCCTGGGGAAAGGAAAACACGAGGAAAAGGAAAATTCCGGGGAAGACACGGGAAAAGGGAAGATCCTGGGGAAAGGAAAACACGAGGAAAAGGAAAATTCCGGGGAAGACACGGGAAAAGGGAAGATCCTGGGGAAAGGAAAACACGAGGAAAAGGAAAATTCCGGGGAAGACACGGGAAAAGGGAAGATCCTGGGGAAAGGAAAACACGAGGAAAAGGAAAATTCCGGGGAAGACACGGGAAAAGGGAAGATCCTGGGGAAAGGAAAACACGAGGAAAAGGAAAATTCCGGGGAAGACACGGGAAAAGGGAAGATCCTGGGGAAAGGGAAAACAGGGGTAGAGGGAAGATCCTGGCGAAGGGAAGACACGAGGACAGGGAAAATTCCGGGAAAGGGAAGACACGAGAAAAGGGAAGACCCCGGGGAAAGGGAAGACCCCCGGGGAAAGGGAAGACCCTGGGGAAAGGGAAGACCCCCGGGGAAAGGGAAGACCCCGGGGA